CGATAAAGTTTATTACGGTCAAACTGGTAAAAATCTCGAACTAAGATTAAAACAACATAAATATAGCATTGGAACTGGACAAGATTCCAATGCTCTATTTATTCATGTAAGAGATTTTAACCATCCAATTGATTTTCAAAAAGTTGAGAAAGTAGTATCAAACAAGTCCATGGTCGACAGGAATATAATTGAATCTTGTTTCATAAAAAGCAGTTTTGACAATAATATGAATATTTCCTTTGGTTTATATAAATTAGATCCATTTATAATTAATAGAATTTGGGAAGAATTTAATAATACACTGGACAAATAATTTTTAAATTTTCTTGGTAGAATAGCTTGGGGGTGAGTTGTGCAAAGGACCTATCCAAGTTGGCTCGCCGCGCGTCACGTGTTTAACCGTTGTGGGATCTGATAGTGAGGTGCTGGCCGGACCCCTTATATAGCTTCCTTGGATGCTTCACTTTCATAGTTCCTTGATAATGTGAGTAGTCACGAAAGCGCTTGGAATTTCTCTATTCTTTCAGAGTGGTTGTTTTGCATATATATATATATATATATATATATATATATATATATATATATATATATATATATTTATATTTATATATATATATATATATATATATATATATATATATATGTGAAATGAGAGAGAGAGAGAGAGAGAGAGAGAGAGAGAGAGAAATGCAAATTTTTCATCGTGAACATAGTGTCCTTTAATATTTTCCATGATTCATCCGAAGTTATCACTTTAACCTCGAGAGGAACTGGATAGAAATTTTCCATCAAAATGAGAAGGGGATGTGGTGTCATTATGGAAGCATGCCTCTATTTTGTATATGATATATGAGCATGCATCTCTTCTGTATATGATGATATAAAAGAATGAAGGTCTTCTGTATAGTATGATGCATAACTTTTCTGTAAGTGACAATATATATATCAGGTCATGCCTTTCGTTTTTACATGATGATGTGATTGCACGGATCTCTTATGTATATGAAGAAATATGAACATGTCTCTCTCCTACATAGGATATATGAGAATTCATCTCTTTCATATGTTGCATTATAAAACTCTCCTCCATAGTTTATATTATAGGAGACTGCATATCTTTCAAATAATATTTAATGAGAATGTTTTCTCCACATCATCGAAAAATTCTAAGAATAAATCGTAGTGCGAATGTGTAGGGTTTTCTCTCTGCTGCAGGAGTAGTGTGACTAGGAAGTCGGTGTGCAGGAGGAATAGGTGCAGCAGGAGGATGGAGAATTTGAAGAAGAGATGGAGATGGATTAAAAGGAGGAGGAAGAGGAAGAAGAGGAAGAACAAGAGTAGGAGGACTGGCAGAGAGGGCGTGCGAGGGTGAAGCATAAAGCGGATGTTTCGTTCTGGCTGAATGCTATCCCTCTCTCCCTCCTCCTTGCTTCCCTCCATCCCTATCTCTATTTTACCCTTCCTCCCTTATTCAATTTCTCCTTCGCTCCCTTCCTCCCTTCAGAAAGTCTGCCAACCAGACAGAGAGCCTGCTAGACAGTAAACCAGCCAGTTGTACTGGCAGCCAGCAAGCCATCCATTACGCTAGTAAGCCACCTAACAAGCCACTAAGTCAACAGAAAAGCCAATCCACTGGCTACTCAGCTAAAATCCAGCTAGTCTGTCAGCTAGCTGGATTGCCAACTTGGCTGGCCAGTCGCTTAGCCAATTGGCTGGTTGCTCAGTCAATCAAACGATCAGAGACCTAGCACTGCAGCCAACTAGCTCGCTAATTTCCTAGTGAGCCTTCTAACTCATACTCTCCAATATCCCAATATCAACTACAAACATATTTTATTCACCCTGACACTCACCCCAACACACTCACAACACACACCCAAACACCCACAACACACACCCCAACACACCCACAACACACACCCCAACACACCCGCAACACACAACCAACACTGCCATAGCTTCCAAAACTGTTCCATTATATTAACGAAATATTGTTCTGACAAGTTGATTAATTAGACACCTGGATATCTTTATTTTTAAGATATCTCCCCAACTAGTGGCTTCTTCAATTCATAACAGAAGATGAGGTAATCAGACCTCTGGATTATAGAAATATCGCATCTTTAGCTGCTTTCTCATTATTATTACACTAGTTGGAGAAAAGTCTTCAAAATAAAGACGTCCAGGTGCTGCACATGTCTCTCTCCTAAACTCCAAAATTTCTTAAATATATATACTCCAACAAACTTTCCAATACACCCCCTACACTCCATCACTCCATAAACAAACAACAAACAATCAATACCCTGAACATGTAAGCATTTCCCTCCACATCACTCTAACCACTCCCAACACACTCTCAATACCCACAACATACTCCCAGCATCCCCAGACTACCCCATAACATCCCAGCACTACTTCTTCCGTTATATCTCATCACACCCCATCATGCCCAAACATATCCAGCATATCCCATCACACAGACCCCCAACACACCCACCTATCTTCTGTGACGGTGCTGTAGGACCACAACGAGGAGAGTGAGGCACCTGTAGCGTCCGAGGCTGTCTGGCCAGACTCTATACCTCCGAATTGCATCTCTGCGGAGTCGACCAGTCCCGGCAGCAGCTCTGCGAGGAGAGAGAGGCGAAAGACTCAGAGAGACAATTGGAATAAGGGTTATATACTGTCTCAAAGACGTAATCACAGACCCATAAGGACTCGACTATACGAGTAGAGCCAAGTGAATATACACCCACACACACACACAAACACACACACCACACACACAAACACACAACACACACACGCACGCACACACATACACAAACACACAGCTACATACACCACACACACACGTGAACAATCCCTTAGGTACTTGCGAGTAGTAGCTGAGATATAAGATATGCAATATTTTACTTTAAAGAGAAAAAAGTGATAAGAGTGACAATGGAATAGAAAGTAAACTAAGGAAGAGGATAACCCGCTGGCAAAACCAATTTCAATTTACCCATTTTCAATACTTTTTTTTTATTTCTTAAATTATTTTTCCATATACAAACCTTTTTTACCAATTACATTCCACTTCCAGTTACAATCCTCTCACAGTTACAATCCCCTCACAATTACAATCCTGTCAGTTACAATCTTCTCTCAATAACAATCCTCTCACAGTTACAGTCTTTTCACAATCACAGTACTCCCCATTTATAATCCTTTTTTTTCAGTTAGAAATTCAGACCCTTGATGAATACATTGCACCAAAAGAGAGAATCCAATTTCTTTCAAATTCTGATCTCCCTGGAATACTATTTTCAACATTGTTCATATTAAGGATTCGGCCAGCGGTCAAGGCAACTCAAATTTTGGCCCCCGCGAGCAAGAGGAAATTGAAAAGGAAATTTGATGGAGGCAGACCTGGAGGCTTCGTCCTTCATTGATTTATGTGCCTTCGTCCTGAAAATTTATTCTTTTATTTTGAAAAATTAAAAAGTCGTGGCGATTTATATTTGGATGACCTTGAACAACGAGAATTGCATGTGTTGTGCTATTGACTGTTTGTTTGCTTGTGTGTGTGTGAGTGTGTGTGTGTGTGTGTGTGTGTGTGTGTGTGTGTGTGTGTGTGTGTGTGTGTGTGTGTATGTTGTGTGTGTGTGTGTGTTGTGTGTGTGTGTGTGTGTGTGTGTGTGTGTGTGTGTGTGTGGTGTGTGTGTGTGTGTGAGTGTGTGTGTGTGTGTTCTGTGTGTGTGTGTGTACTCACCTAGTTGTACTCACCTAGTTGAGGTTGCAGGGGTCGAGTCCGAGCTCCTGGCCCCACCTCTTCACTGGTCGCTACTAGGTCACTCTCCCTGAACCGCGAGCTTTATCGTACCTCTGCTTGAAGCTATGTATGGATCCTGCCTCCACTACATCGCTTCCCAAACTATTCCACTTACTGACTACTCTGTGGCTGAAGAAATACTTCCTAACATCCCTGTGATTCATCTGTGTCTTCAACTTCCAACTGTGTCCCCTTGTTACTGTGTCCAATCTATGGAACATCCTGTCTTTGTCCACCTTGTGAATTCCTCTCAGTATTTTGTATGTCGTTATCATGTCCCCCCTATCTCTCCTGTCCTCCAGTGTCGTCAGGTTGATTTCCCTTAACCTCTCCTCGTGGGACATACCTCTTAGCTCTGGGAGTAGTCTTGTTGCAAACTTTTGCACTTTCTCTACTGTCTTTACGTGCTTGGCTAGGTGTGGGTTCCAAACTGGTGCCGCATACTCCAATATGGGCCTAACGTACACGGTGTACAGGGTCCTGAACGATTCCTTATTGAGGTGTCGGAATGCTGTTCTGAGGTTTGCTAGGCGCCCATATGCTTCAGCCGTTATTTGGTTGATGTGCGCTTCAGATGTGCCTGGTGTTATACTCACCCCAAGATCTTTTTCCTTGAGTGAGGTTTGTAGTCTCTGGCCCCCTAGACTGTACTCCGTCTGCAGTCTTCTTTGCCCTTCCCCAATCTTCATGACTTTGCACTTGGTGGGATTGAACTCCAGGAGCCAATTGCTGGACCATATCTGCAGCCTGTCCAGATCCCTTTGTAGTTCTGCCTGGTGTTCGATCGAGTGAATTCTTCTCATCAACTTCAAGTCATCTGCAAACAGGGACACCTCAGAGTCTATTGCTTCCGTCATGTCGTTCACAAATACCAGAAACAGCACTGGTCCTAGGACTGACCCCTGTGGGACCCCGCTGGTCACAAGTGCCCACTCTGACACCTCGCCACGTGTGTGTGTGTGTGTGTGTGTGTGTGAGATGTGTGTGTGTGTGAGAGAGAGAGAGAGAGAGAGAGAGAGAGAGAGAGAGAGAGAGAGTGTGTGTGTGTGTATTTCAGTGTTCCCATATAATATATATGTGTGTGTGCTTGTGTTCAGTGAATATTTTAGGAAACATAGATCTGAAATTGGTGATTTATATAACTTCGCTCCTTTTTTTTTCTAAAAATAAATATCACAATATATCCAATAAATATACTGCATTTGAGACCTTAATCATTTTCCCTCACAGTGGTTGCAACTCCAGATCCTGTATTCTATGGTCTCTTGACTTTGATTACGCAAGAAGAGTCTTATACTAAGAAATGTTTATTGCTTGTGATTGTTTTTTCGTCAGGAAAGTTGCATGACACGATATTTTTTCCGTAAAATGAACTTGTGACTAGGTTTGGTACTCCCAGTGTGAAGACAAGTGGTGATTGGTGTTCGCTGTTCTATCAATGGCCGGACGGGCGCGGCGACCCATGGGCAGTCCTTCGTCGTAGTGCAAGGAGAGTACATTTTTCCTTAAGTTAAATGATATACTCTCAAGTCAAGGAACAAGCTCAAGAGGAGAATCAAGGTCTCTTTCTCTCATTTCTATCTCCCTGTTCTCTTAAGATTTGCGTAACAGTATTCCTCTTCCAAACACATCTTCCTCTCCATTCATCATTCATTGTCAGATTTCTTAAAGACCTAATTACCTCCCTCCCGCTTCCATTATATAATGACTGTTTAATTGCCATCACCTTTAACAAAAAATCACCCACTTCATCTTAAGCGAAAGAGGCCTTTTTCCAGATTTTTTTACCCGAGGGTTGAAAGCATTCACCCACATAATTATACCATTTAACCTGTTTGTTGCATCCACCTCTATTATATGTATTGAAAAAATTACTGCCGAAAATTTAGGCACAATTATAAATCTCGGTAATTATCTTGAGTATTAATTATCTCGAAAATTATTACGCAAATTACGCATTTTCAAGTTTTGCTCTTTTTAATAATTATAATAGTTGTAATTGAAGGCTTTTAGTGAGAGAAAAAATATATATATATATATATATATATATAATATATATATATATATATATAAATATATATATATATATATATATATATTAATATATATATATATATATATATATATATATATATATATATATAAAATAAGAAGAGAGAAGAAGAAGAGAGAGAGAGAGAGAGAGAAGAGAGAGAGAGAGAGAGAGAGAGAGAGAGAGAGAGAGAGAGAGAGAGAGATGGAGAGGAGACAGGAGAGAGAGAGACAGAGAGAGAGAGAGAGTAGAGAAGACGTCACTCACATTTGTCACATGACTAGAAGCTGGTAGTCACGGCAACAAATGATTGTCTTAACCAAATAAAATAATTCTTAGTATAGTCTGAAACATTTCATGCTAATTGCCTTAACCTTTATTTATCTGTTTAGTTTAATGAGATTAACCACACTCAGTTTTCTCTTCTCATTACTCATATAAAATTTTTGATACTTCACACTGCTTATATTCACGCCAAGTTTTTTTTACGAGTCATTATTTACATTAAATATTGGTAGTTAATTAAATGTGGCACACTGTGTTCGCAGTTTATGAACATTAGTTAAATATGGTACACGATGACCGTAGAGTTTATCGACATAGTTAAATATGACACGTTATGACCGTAGAGTTTTTCAACAAATGTAGATGGGTACACGACGAGCGTGGAGTTTATCGAGATAGTTAAATACGGCATGTGATGACCGTAGAGTTTTTCAACAAATGTAGATGGGTACACGACGAGCGTGGAGTTTATCGAGATAGTTAAATACGGCATGTGTTGACCGTAGAGTTTTTCAACAAATGTAGATGGGTACATGACGACCGTGGAGTTTATCGAGATAGTTAAATACAGCATGTGTTGACCGTAGAGTTTTTCAACAAATGTAGATGGGTACACGACGAGCGTGGAGTTTATCGAGATAGTTAAATACGGCATGTGTTGACCGTAGAGTTTTTCAACAAATGTAGATGGGTAAATGACGACCGTGGAGGTTATCAAGATAGCTAAATACGGCTTGTGAGGTCCGTAGAGTTTTTCAATATATAGATGTGGTACATGATGACCGAGCGCTAAAATAACGGACGATTGATTGATGTAAAGTGCATATAGATTGATAATTAGTAAAGTTTTTGTTGAAGTAATTTAAATTTTCTCTTACCTTCAGTAACAATAATAATAATTAAATAATAGTAACAATACACAAATAACCCGCACATAAAAGAGAGAAGCTTACGACGACGTTTCGGTCCGACTTGGACCACTGACTTTGTCAATGTGTGACTTTGTCAATGGTCCAAGTCGGACCGAAACGTCGTCGTAAGCTTCTCTCTTTTATGTGCGGGTTATTTGTGTATTGTTCCAGTCACGGTATTGTGCCTTTTTGTTATTTAATAGTAACAATAATAATAATAATAATAATAATAATAATAATAATAATAATAATAATAATAATAATAATAATAATTTATTATCTAAGAATTACTAAACGATTTACAGTGTTTTCCAGGAAAGAATTATACATAGATTCGGTATTGGTTATGAAAAATCACCTCATCGGCCTACTGCAGTCTTCAAGCTGAGCCTGACAAATTTTAACACCGTGTATGTGACCCGTTTTGTGTGATGGAATATGATAGAGAAGCATAGCTAACATTTGCCTGTGTTACACTTTGCTGATGTATCCGATTTTGCTATATAAAAATAAATTGCTTGAGTAATTTAAAAAATAAACATTCATTTATTTTTGTGCTTCCTTCCAATAATTGATTTCGTGTTTTTTATGAAGAATTTTACTTGTTTTGTATCAAAACAGTTTATTTATTTTTCTTTGAAACATTTCACTATTTTTTCCGTTTTTTTCGAGGCAGATGCCTCGCTGTTGGTGAAGGGCTCTTGATGAAGGGAATTAAAACTACCCTTCCCTTCCTTGAATCAAACCTAATTTTCTCCTTTTAACCAGACGGGATTAAAATTTCCCAGCAAACTTAATGACAATATAATTTCTCATTTTATTCATCTGTTAAAAAAGAAGCTCTACGCATAAACTGAGAGAAACCCTGTAAGCCCTGATAACCCTGCATACCCTGGAACCTTTGCAAACCAGTAACTCTCAAAGGAACTGTTTGTTACGCAATGTCCCTTACAAAACCTATGAAAAAAATATTAGCTTCTGTAAATCACACTTAATTTTCAGGTTATTGTTGATTCTGTTTTTTTTTTTTTCGATTAACCTCATTTATTTTTCTAATAATTTGTGTAAAAAAGTCATGCAGCTACATTGCGTTAAATAACCGTAAATCCATATTATTTTAAATAATGGAAAAAAATAGACGTTTTTATCTCAGTAAATCAATACCATAACATAATGTAAAAGCAAATCCTATCACCTCTTGTAAAGTTCAGTCACGTCATGTTGAGTTTTCGTTAAATCTTAAGTCATGTTAAATCCCTTTACATCTCATCAACTTTACTGATTATTGTTACATCTCGTTAAATTTCCTCACGTCATGACGAATTTCGTTAAATCTCGTAAAGTCATGTTGATTCCCGTTAAATCTTATCAAATTGCTGTGAATCTTGTTAAATCTCTTCAATTAATATTGAATATCGTCAAAATAATATATAATGTCGTTAAATCTAATTGAATCGCGTTAAATCTCATTAACTAACAGTGACGCGCGACAAATCTCGTCAAACGATATTGAACCTTCTTCAATCTCGTGAAATCATTTTAAATCTCGTTAAATCATAATGACCCTCGTTAAATCTCAGTAAATCACGTTAAATCTCTTTAAATCTCACCCCATCACCCCATCATTTCGTTATATCGAAGTGAACCTCAATAAATTTAATGAAATCATATTGAACTTTGTTATACCTCGGCACTCTATATTGAGTCTCGTTAGATCTGCCCAAATCATTAAAAACGTGGGTAAAACTAATAAAATCACATATTATCTAGGTATATCCCAATAAAACAATATCGCTATTTCACGATTATATGAGCTAAATCACTTAAAATCACTTAAATTAATAATAAATCACGATAAATTCCCCCTCGTCAAACTCAGCTGTGAATTATCTCGCGCAAAAACTGATTATTTTTTTATTATTTTTTTCTGCGGTCTCGAAAACGAGTAATAGGTCCAAAAGTGGAAAATAATTCCTCTGTTGCAGAACCAATTTGAGAGTGAATTTTCCCATGTATTTTGAATTTATTTGCAATTTATCTGCAGTTTTGTTGGGTTACAGACAGTGACTACTGTTTGTATCTCACCACGGTGGTGTTTTCTGTGAAAGTTTCCTATTGAAACCCAGCAGCTCAGAGGTAAAGCGCTAGGTCTGTTAATATCGGGACAATGGTTTGAGCCTCCCGTCCACCTTTCTGTTTATATATGTTGTGTGTGTGTGTGTGTGTACTCACCTAGTACTCACCTAGTTGAGGTTGCGGGGGTCGAGTCCGAGCTCCTGGCCCCGTGTGTGTGTGTGTGTGTGTGTGTGTGTGTGTGTGTGTACTCACCTAGTACTCACCTAGTTGAGGTTGCGGGGGTCGAGTCCGAGCTCCTGGCCCCGTGTGTGTGTGTGTGTGTGTGTGTGTGTGTGTGTGTGTGTGTGTGTGTGTGTGTGAGTGTGTGTGTGTGTGTGTGTGTGTCTGTGTGTGTGTGTCTGTGTGTGTGTGTCTGTGTGTGTGTCTGTGTGTGTGTGTCTGTGTGTGTGCGTGTGTGTGTGTGTGTGTGTGTGTGTGTGTGTGTGTGTGTGTGTGTGTGTGTGTGGGGTGTGTGTGTGTGTGTGTGTGTGTGAATGAGCTAAAGCTCTGTTCACGAAATCAGTGAGGTATTTTAAAAGTTAAGGAGACTCATTCCCCTTCCTCCCCCTCCCTCCAGGTCATGATTGCCTGGCTAGGATATGCATGAATCTTTGGTTTCATGTATGAATAAGGTCTTTGATGCTATTCAAAGCTGCAATGAGATGGAATCTGGTCCTTTTCCACTAGACAGTGAGAGAGAGAGGAGATATAGAGAATAAACGGAAAGAGAGGGGTGGGGAAGTTTTGGAACAGTAAGAGATAAAAGTAGGACCAGAGAAGAGAGACGAGAGAATGAGCGTAAGAGTGGATAGTACCAAGCACCAGACAACGAAGATG